AGATAAGATAAAGTTAGAAAAAAGTTTAAGTTTTATTCCAGATACTTGATTGGCTATGCCGTTTCCATTTTTTTTTTTTTTTTGGGGGGGGGGGGGGGGGGGGGGCTGTATTTTTATGAAAAAGTTTTTTATGGTTATTTTATGTAGCCTTATGAGGGAATAGTGGTAAACTTTCCAGCAACCCGAGGAGCTAACAAATTATTTTTGGTATTAAGTGGTTGAATATACTTCAGAACTATATATATTGATAGATTCATATGGAGACTTATGCATAATGGAAGTGCATGAACATTCACCTCTTCAAAGACAGCTCTGGTAACATCGCCACATCGTACTGTTCCATCATGGCTCAGGGATAGCAGATGAACAGGATTAAATGGAGAAAAATACATGCAGCTTACTGGTTGACTATGTGGTATAAAGACATATACTCCATCTTCAGATTTAGAGTTCTGAAAATAAAAAGATTTAATGAACACAATGTTAAATTAACCATGTCATTTCTATTTTTAGATTTATTGCTCTTTCAAAAAGTTACTTATGTCTCAATTTTGTACCACAACTAATATTGATTCGCTTTTTCCTAATCTTTTCTGAATGATGGCATACAGCAACAAATCCATTCCGCTAGGTAAACTAATAGAACAAGACTGCTTCCAGCAGTCCAAATTGTAAATTTAGCCCTATTTGAGCCTCTCTGAGGCAAGTCTTTGGAGCCCTTGCTCAGGCTGAACTGCCATTGATGTTAATGAGTTCTGCCTGAGGGCACAGTGCATTATTTTACTCACAATTTACAGTTCAATATACTACTGACAGGCCCATGCTTTGTTTCCCCTCATCCTTTTCATCACTGTACAACTGGCCTAGCTACATGTGCTAGACATTTACTGTCAATTTCATAATTACTGTACCTCCCAGAGAGTAAGAGCTGCAACTTCTGCTATAACTTAAGTTCTATCTCATCGGATTGTTTTTATTGCTAGACCCGGTTTACATTCAATTTAGGAATTAAAAACTGAACAGTAAAACTTTCCTACATCTTATCTTCTAATAATGCTAATACCATGATAGCATCCAATCGAGATTTAAAATACAGTCAAATGCTTCTTTTTTTGGTTCTGGTGCCATCTTCCTTCTATGGCTGTTATTCTTTGCCCCAAAACTGGGTTACCTTCAGTAAACCTAGACTGAATTCAGAGAAAGCCAAGACAGCTATTACATCTTAATTAATAACACAAGCTTCTCTTGTGGACAAGCTTTCCTGAGGAGGTTAAAGTATCATTTGCTTTTCCTTTATCACTAGTCATTTGGAGTAAGAGGGTGAGTAGGTCTTGTTGCCCATGCACATTATGATAATTCTGTAGGCCTAATATACACAACTGTACATGGGAATGTGATAATTTCTGCCTTATTCCACTGGAGAAGGGAGATTCCAGGCTTATGGCAAAAGCATTTGTTTCTTGTTCTGTTGATTTGCAATATCATACAACCATAGAAATGTAGGTCTGGAAGGGGCCTCAAGCGGTCATCTAGTCCATTCCCCCATGCTAAGTAAATATCCCTAGAGCATCCCTGACAAGTCTTTGTCTAACCTGTTCTTAAAAACCTCCAAGAATGGGGATTCTACAACCTCCTTAGGTAACTTGTTCCTGTGCTTAGCTATCATTATAGTTATAAAGTTTTGCCCTAATATCTAAACTAAATCTCCCTTACTGCAAACTAAACTTGTCCTATCCTTGATGGATACTGAACCCAGATATAGAGAACATTAGGTCATTTTTAGAGGGTTTTACAATTTATTCCAATTCTTTTTTGTGTGTGTCTCACTCCATTATTTGTGTTTGTTGCAGCAATGACCAAAGGCACCAATCAAGAATGTAACCACATTGTGAAGGGTGCTATACAAGCATATATAAAGATATAGCCTCTGCTCTTAGAATTTAAGACAATGTAACAATTCTAACAAACAACAGAGGAAAAGGAGGACAAGCATAATGGAAATAGGTACCTAAGAGATCAACAATCTTGTGGATTCCCCATTACTTTAGTACATGATCACTTCATAATCTTTAATATTTTTATCCTCATAACATCCCTGTGAGGTAGGGGAGTACTATTATTCCCATTTTATAGGTGAGGAACTGAGGCACAGAGAGGCTAAAGGGTAAAGTCCTAGCCCCTCTGAAGTCAAAGGGGGTTTTGCCACTGACTTCAATGGAAGTAGGATTTCACCCTAAATGCATTGCCTGGAGTCACAAAGGGTGTCTCTATGGCAAAGCTTGGAACCGGACCTGGGACGGCTGGCATCAGAACCACTGGATCATACTTCGCTTCATCATGTAACAACACTGGTTGGCACAATTTGATGGCTCTAAATTATGAAGATTTTTTAAACATAACTGGTATTATTATCTTTGAGTGTCTTAATCTAGCTAACATTAGTTGACTGATTTCTTGGAGGCATCAAGGCAGAAATGGGTCTTGAGGAGGGTTTTTAAGACACTAGCTTTACACACTAAATCAGGGAGGGTGGCTTCATGTATAAGGGACAGCATGAAAGGAAGAGCAAACAGCTGCAGAAGAGAGAAATGGGCATTTAAGATGGGCATCTATGGCAGAACAGAGAGGATGGGGACACAATAGAAGATATTTGCAAAGTAGTAGTAAAAGGCAGAATTGTAAAGGGTCATTGCCATCATCCCAATCTCATGCACATAAAAATTGTATTGCCTACCCTCACAAAACACAAAACCGTATTGTCTCACAGATGTTACCACTTTAGCACTGGAGCCTCGCTTCAGTAATTGTCTACTAATCAGATTTACTAAAATCATTCTCACCAGTTATCTGACTTCCCCCCCTCATAAGATTCCCAATAAATGAATCCTAAGCACAACCCTCTCCTCCCCCAAAGAGAGATCACACAAGCAATTTACCAAATCCCAAAGACCAATCTGTCCAGACTTGTCTCCAGCTGCCACCAAGGTCCTGCTTTCAGAAGGATGGATAGCCACAGAATATATTCTATTTTTGACAACTTTTGTAACAGCATCTTCACTCAGGATCATATGACTCAGACTGGCTTTGTATCTAGGCAACATCATTAAATTGTTAGATATTTCCCCCAAAAGGGTTAAAATTGACAGAAATAAATTGTTTATAGATTACCTTTCTAAGTTACATATGTGTTTTTCAGTATCATTAGGGTTTATCTGCATTGTAAGACAGAAAAAAAAAAGTACAAGTTAAATTTGGGCACAAATTTACTGGCAAAGTTATTATGAGCTCAGGCTAAATGCCCCCCAAAATGAGTGAATTACGACGGATACCTGACTTATCTTTGTCCATGTATCCAGAAATGCGTCCGTTAATTCACTGCTCTTACTCTGATTTGCAGGTACCATTGGAAGAGGTCCAGGTGGCAACTGAGGCGATTTAAAAGGCAGAACAATGTTAAATACCCTGTGCATCTTTTACAGCTTCCCAACCAGTTCATTCAACTAGAAAAATGAATAAGCAAAGGGAGCTATTTAGCAATTATATATGCCACAAACATAAATCTATCCTTTCACGATATTAAAATGTGCATAAAAAGAAATTCATATCAAAAATATATCTTATTCCAGGAGAGAAGGGCAGGAAATAGTAAATACAAGTGTGTAAACAAGTGGCCTCCTATACCCTTTTCCTTTTCTCCCGACTCTGAGAAGCATTGTTTCCAACAACTATATTGCAGAAGTTTAGCGTTATTTCCATAGTAATACAGAAAACCTGAATTATCAGCTCACACAGGAATATAATTTTACATGTTGCTGTATAACTTCCTCAAATAAGGTAGTACATGTCTCAGGAAAAAATAAGCTAATGAAAAGTTAGATTCAAGATATGCTGAAAACACAAAAAACGAACAATTATGAGTCTATGAATTATTGAGCATACATAACATTCTATCAAGATTCTATAATGTTACACAGAAGTGGGAAAGTATTATTTCTTCAGCTTGAGCCTCAGAACATAGAATTAACTATTGCACAGTCCACTTCTGCCATCAGATTTACCTTTCAATAGAACTTCTCAGAGCATGCTCTGCTGAGATCATTTTGAATAGAATTTACTTTGTTTCTGCACAACCCTAGATCACTTTCACAGGGCCATATTCTCCTGTTCTTGCTCTTGAGAAGACCCACAGAAGCCAATGGGGCTTTTCATGGAACCAAGTACTACTCAACATGAACAAGGGTGGAAGAATCTGACCCATACTATTCACTGCATGCAAAACTTCTCCAGTATCTCCAGGTTATCGAATAAAACTTATTTAGCAATTAGGAATAAGTATTATCACAGTCAAAGCCACTCAGATTTATTAAAAATTTCAATATCTCTAAATAAAAGTCTAACATGTTTTCATAAAGCTGCCAAATATGCACTGTACTGTATTTCTTCCTTTCTCCTTCACCATCTTACATATTCATCAATTACTGGTTCTGGCTGTGCTGGAATTTCTGGCAATGGAACTCCTGATGGATCTACTCTTTGTAAGCGCATAGATCTTCGACGTACTGTCTCAGCTTCTGTCTTTTTGGGCTTAACTCTAGAGGAATGGAAATAGTCAAACAATATATATTCAAATAAACAATGAGTTCCTAGGGTGAAGGAATCCAAAATAGGTTTGGATCTTTATTTCTAGAGTTCTGATCCAGACTAATATCACAAATAGCTTTGATTCAGTCTAGAAATGTGTTTTGCTCACAGAATCATAGAAATGTAGGGCTGGAAGGGACCCCCCTCAAGAGGTTGTCTAGTCCATGCCTGTGTGCTGAGACAGGACCAAATATACTTAGGCCATCCCTGACAGTTATTTGCCTACAAAAGAATTACTACACCACATTATGTTTTTAGTCTATGTTGTCTAGGAATGTTTATCTTTACTACACTTTTGGTTTTCAGTTATAATCTACCCTCTCAATGTTCTCCTCTCTCCCCAACTCTAGGTATTTATTCAGTGGCAAACAACTAAGTTAACACAGAGTTAAAGCTGGTTGGTGGTATGTCATCCTCTGGCAGAACAGTGAGTGGAGCAAAATCCAAAACTTCTGAAATCAGGAAATGCAAAGTTAAGGTTGCCCATGCAAACTTAACTCTGACCTCTTTCAGCAATGCCCTAATACACCCCGTTAACACATACACCTTTACTTTGCCAACCCCACAGTTGCTGAAATGTACATGTTGAATCTGTCTCTCTCCAGGCCTCCATTCCACCCACTAGTCTTCCTTTATATCGTCTTCCATACTGTATTTTATTTTCTTCTTATTCCTCTGTCCTGTAGCTTGTTTTCCTGTTTTTACTTAATGCCTGTGTTTCTATACTTATTATACCTATACCTAATGTTCCCTTTTATCCTTTTTTAAATTTTTCCTCTCCAGCTCCCTTTCCCTTTGTTCCATTATCAGACTGATTTTTTTCTTCTTAGCCATCAAGCTAGATATCATACTAGATGACTTCTTGAGGTCCCTTCCAGCCTAAAATTTTATGATTCTATAAGAACAAGTTGCTCTTGAAATCTCACTGAAAATACAATAGCTACTTTCATGATATTTTGACCAGAAAGACATTCATACTACCAAGTATCAGAGGGGTAGCCGTGTTAGTCTGGATCTGTAAAACGCAACAGAGAGTCCTGTGGCACCTTTAAGACTAACAGATGTATTGGAGCATAAGCTTTCGTGGGTGAATGCCCACTTTGTCGAGTGCATGTCA